AATTTATGCGCAGTATAAGACTGATAGCTAGGTCTCATCATTTTACGGTTGAAATGGCTAGATGCAAACCGTAAGTTCTATGCTAACAGTTTCTTCCCTCGCATTTGGGAAATTCTCTTCCGGTCTCTTGCTTTCCATTCAAATTCGATCTTCGAAAGTTTACATATAATGTCAATCGTTATCTACCGTCTTCTCAATTCCAGTCTTTTTAATTGTCCTCTGCCCTTCATAATGTTTTTTTCTCATATTCTTTCACACTCAGTAACCTCTTGTATCTTAGTGGCTTTATTACCTTACTTGGGGTGAAATGATTCAAAATAAATAAATAGATACATAAATAAATGAAAACAAAGCAACGTCTATAAAAATGAAAAGAAGAAAAAGAAGAAAAAGAAAGAAAAGAAGAAAAAAGGAAGAGAAGAGAAAAAAAGATGAAAAAAACAAAACAAACGAAAAAAAGGAAAAGAAGAAAAAGGAAAAATGAAAATGAAAAAAAAAGAAGGAAAAAGGAAAAAGAAAAAGACGGAGAAGAAAAAAAGGAAAAAGAAAGCAAAAGAAGAAGAAAAAGAAAAGATGAAAAGATGAAAGAGAAGGAAAAGAAGAAAAGGAAGGAAATCAAGAAGAATGGAAAAGAAGAAAAAGATAATAAAAAAAAACGAAAAAGGGTAAGAAGAAAAAGAAAAGGAGGAAAAAGGAAGAAAAAGAAGAAAAAAATGAAAAGAAGGAGAAAGAGAAAGAAGAAAAAGACGAAGTAGAAAAAAGGAAAAGAAAAAAAAAAGGAAAAAAAAAAAAAGAGAAATATTTCAAAACCTGGACCATTGCTATTAAATACAACATTGAGTCATTCACTGAGTTATCTATAGAACACCTAAAAAGTAATAAAAAAGACATTAATAAGTTTTTCAAAGTTCCTGTAAAGACGATTAAATCTAAATATTTTTAATTCGGCAATGATAGATATGGCCAACGAGTCAATAATCAGATGAAATTAAATAATATATAACTTATATATTCACCTACGATTTTAAGTCCATCGAAAAAAAAATAAGAAGATTTTATTAAATCCCAAGAATTATTAGGTTTCTACATATAACACTTTAAATACATTTTACTCATTGTGTTAATAGAATGTAATTATTTGGGATCACTTTATTAGTTAATAATGAATGAAAATCGATCCCCCATTTTATGTCTCATACAATTATATATTAACATAATTATACACGTGATAAAACTCCTTACAATTATTACATTTTTAACATATTTTTCATCATAATGTGACTTCTCTGTGTCTTTTCTATAAATACTTTCATGGTAATTGTTCTGATGAGCGCAGTACTAGGTTGGCGGGAAGGTCTCATAATTTTACAGTTGAAATGCTAGATGTAGCTGTAAGTTCTATGCTATCAATTTTTTTCTATCGCACTTCTCGCTTGTGGAACTCTCAGTTTATGGCTTTCCAGTCAACATTGTTCTTCAAAAATTTAAGTTGCTATACCAATTGTTATCTTTTGTCTTCTTAATTCTTCTTTTTTTTATTTTCCTCTCACCTTAATAGTATCTTTTTCTCCTATGCTCTAACAGTCAGTAACTCTTTGCATCTTAGTGGCTTTATTGCCTTGCTTGGAGGGAAATGATTAAAAAATATAATTACTGTGAGACTACTTTATTATTTAACAACAATAAAAAAAAAACCCGTCCCCCCATTTTGTCAAGTAGAAAAATGTCCTTAGTATAACATATTTACGATTTTAAGCCCCTCGAAAAAAAATGACAAGATTTTATTAAATCCTAAGTATTATTAGGAAACAGAAGGAAAAGAAGAAAAAGAAAGAAATGAAGAAAAAAGGAAAAAGAACCTACGATTTTAAGCCCATCGAAAGCAGTACTAGGTTGGCGGGAAGGTCTCATAATTTTACAGTTGAAATACTAGATGTAGCTGTAAGTTCTACGCTATGACTTTTTTCTATCGCACTTCTCGCCTGTTGAACTCTCGGTTTATTGCTTTATAAAATAATATATAACTTATATATTCACCTACGATTTTAAGTCCATCGAAAAAAAAATAAGAAGATTTTATTAAATCCCAAGAATTATTAGGTTTCTACATATAACACTTTAAATACATTTTACTCATTGTGTTAATAGAATGTAATTATTTGGGATCACTTTATTAGTTAATAATGAATGAAAATCGATCCCCCATTTTATGTCTCATACAATTATATATTAACATAATTATACACGTGATAAAACTCCTTACAATTATTACATTTTTAACATATTTTTCATCATAATGTGACTTCTCTGTGTCTTTTCTATAAATACTTTCATGGTAATTGTTCTGATGAGCGCAGTACTAGGTTGGCGGGAAGGTCTCATAATTTTACAGTTGAAATGCTAGATGTAGCTGTAAGTTCTATGCTATCAGTCCTATTTTCGCTATAATTATGCAACAATGATGTAATGATATTCCGCAGCCAAATTTCCTCATTTCATTGCATGGTTACCAACTATGAACCTAAATTGAACTTGAAATATTGTGTAATTGGCTATAATTTTCTGTACGTTTTATGAATGGATTTTTAAATATATTTCTCAATTATTATATTAAAATATATTAATTATTGGGGGATCACTTTATTACCTATTAGCAATAGAAAACCGATCCCCCACTTTATGTTGTGCCTGAATATGTGACACGTTTGGCGGGGGAGAGGCGTATTTGATAAAGGTTTTAGACAGTTTTGATCAACATTTTCCTGGTCAGCTGTAAGGAATTCTAAATGTAGGACTACCTTACACTTAAGTAAAATAATAAAAATAATAATATTTATTAAGAATTTATTACAGGAAATATCAAGTTCTATGGAAACATTGTTGATAATTATGTATTTAGTTACATAACAAATAAATAAAAATAATAAAAATTTTGATGTTGTATTCGATTTGTTGTTAGGTATTTTTCATTTTCTCTTTTGTTACTGGCAGCATTTTTAAATACTTTGAAAACCTAAGTTTCATAAGTTGAACAAACTGGAGCTTTTCCATTTAGTCTTTGTTACCTCTCTTTTCCATTGTTGAATTTTAGATCGCTTTCTTCCAGTCATTTTGATGGGCAGTAGTGAAATTCTGAAATTTAGAATGATCCTATTCCATTTCAAAAATAAAGCCTGTAAAAAGGAATATTTTAAATTAATATAAGACCAAAAATAAAATGTTTTTTGACAAAAAAAACCTTAATGATTTCACTATAATTATGTAACAATGATGTAATGATACTCCACAGACAAATCTACGGTTTATGTTACGTCATTTCATTGCATGGTTACCAACTATAAACCTAAATTGAACTTGAAATATTGTGTAATTGGTTCTAATTTTCTGTAAAATACTTGGATATGATTTAATGAATAATTTGCAGTGACAAAAGCAATTTTATTTTGTTGTCTTTGATTATTTCCAGACAGTTCTTTTCATCGTCCTTCTTTGTAGACATCTTATATATAATCGGGTGGGAAAATCTCTTCTGGCCACTTTCATTCCAGTAAACTTTGTCCTTCAAAAATTGAAACGGAATTTCAATCATTATCTACTGTCTCCATAATTCCTGTTTTTTTAATTGTTCGCTTTTCTTCATGGTATTTTTACGGTTTGGTTTGGCTTGTTTTGTTTTACGTTATATCAACACCTCAATGGGTTATTTAATGCCGACAAGATTTTTATTGCTAGTAATATTTTTTTTCCAAAAATGTATTGATGGTAATAATTATTTTCTTCAAAAATTGATTGCTGTTAATAATTTTTACAAAAATATATTGATGGCATTGAAACCTATTTTTACACTTTCATAGTGTTTTGATTTCAGTTTGGGGGGTTAAGTATTTGCCCATAGCTGGGACCCTAACAGGTGCTACCATCCCGGGTCAGGATAGACCTGGGAAACACCGGCAATTAGGAAATGGTTCCAAGTTCCTCAAAACCTCATGATCAGAGGTTTTGGTGTAAGATCTAGTT